GGACACAATCCTCCGATTTTTTTATATTCAACGACTTATTTTACCTCGTCAATTTAGGGTGGAATCACATTCTTTGCCTTAAAGCGCTTCCGCATTGGGCAATTGGGCATGAACGATTTGGTGGCGGACAGAAATGGGCAATCTACCCATGGAATGCCTCAAGCCAGTGGCCTCGAAGCTAATACGGCTGCTCCCTACCCTCCTTCTTTTCCTGGCATGATGGACTCCGTTTCGCACTCCGGATATCCTCCTTCGGGTTATTCCCAGCCACCCTTCACGGGTATTAGCCAGGTTTCAGGCCAATACTACCCTCCAACATATTAAATCTGACGCATTTATCAAATTCACATTTTGCTCTGCAATTTAATCACTTCCATGGTCCAATACCACATTGCTCACCTTTTACTATCGTAGATTCCCGAAATCTGCTTCCCTTTATCCGACCAACTGTCTCCCGTGTTGTAGTCAAAAAGCATTTCCTCGATTCTCCATCGAATTCCATCTTGGCATGCCCAGGGCATGAATCCTTGAATTCGACTTTTTGTCGTCCATTGGGCATTTGAACAGCATCAGTTTTCTCGCTATGTTATTATTTTTGACGTGGACCCACTCTGATATCATCGGTTCCATTTCGCATTTAACCCGTTTTTCTTACATTTATCTTGCCGCACTAGTCCTGCAATTTTGAATTACCCAGACATTCCACTTTTTATATCACAATTTTCCAGACCCTGATCCCTTTATTTCTAGTCTTATATCCTTTTATCCATAAAACGTGTCATTCGCGATGACCTAGTCTAGCTAAACCGTGCTAACCTGAAAAATAAATAAATTTATTTATCCCTTCGATTTCATTTGAAGAGCTCCATGTGAATTGAACACCGTACCTGAAGTAATTTTCGTACCCCAATGGCCACACGAACAACTATACCATGGGCAATGCACTAGATTCTGTCAATACTTGTTGCTATATATTGGCTGTGTACTGTCCCTCTATGGCCGCGCTTAGGTCTGATTTCGTTCCGCGAATCGCTTGTCAC